GTGTGTGTGTGTGTGTGTGTGTGTAAACTCTCTACCTTAGTGATCTCAACCAGTCACGATTTTAAGAACCACCAATACAATGGTGACTAACAAAAGTCTCTCAGGTATCAACCTCACTCAAACTGTGGGTTTATATTCAGCTACTTAGTACACATTCCCCATATATGTCCCACAGGCATTTCAATCTTGAAATGTCTAAAACTACTGAACTTATCTTAGCAACAACTATATTCATTCCGTAATCCCCTTGTCTTCCTTTATTCTTCTTAGTTCATGACAACATTCCCCAAGTAAGATTAAAATTTAGCCCAATCTGAGCATCCAACATAAGCCACTACCATATTTTAGAAAGTACAAACAAAAGTCATGGTCCCATTTCTTAAGTCCTTGATAACAGATTGTATCTTTATTTTTATTGCAAGCACATAACGGCACCCACCAATGAATGGGTGGATATTACTTTTAAATCAATATAAGACCATATTTCCATAAGATATTGAAGTAAAAAATTATGCACAGAAAGATTTAACTAGAGAAGTAGCTTTTACTTTAAAAAAAAATAAACATATCACTGTAAAAGCCTCAATAACATATTGTTAAGCAATATCCCAAATTATCAGATTGGCAAAGTATCGCACTAATTCTCTTTGAGTGTCTAAGTCCTGTAAAATAATTTGAGAATTTTTCTATATTTCTCCTTCAATGTTTACAGATATTTGTATCAGCTCCCAAATTAGTTTTATTGACAAATTTAATTAAAATGCTATTCATCATTCCTCTTTGATCATTAGAAGCACTAAAGAAAATTACGCCTAATAATGATCCCAGTCTCAACCTTCTAATGTCCATCCCCTCTAGGTAACATTTAAATTATATAGCTCATGCAAATCAATGATAATTATTTTTTCCTAACAAGATTATCATTAGACTCTCTGAAACCAAATAGTATCCTTTCCTCTCTTCACAAAAAAAAAAAAAAAAGAGGAAGAGAGATAAGAAAAACATTACATTTGGAGAGCCAAAAAAGACAATTCAGTGTGCTTGAAAGGCATATCACAAGGTTGCTTTGTAGAACAGGAAGTGTCAAACTATGCACATCAGCTGCCACCCTACATACAGATGTCTCTGACATGGTGATAAAATGGGAAACCATTTGGTTTAATAACAATAAAAAAAGGCAACATCAGATGGTGCATATTACATGTAGCATCTAGCCCTGGTTGCCTAGCAACCAGTCACGAGGGAACTCCATAGAGAATAAAAGCCCTAAACAAATGTACGGTTTGTGCAAGTCTCAAGGACTCAACGAGATGTGTCAGTAGTTAATCTAAATTCTAGTATAAAATCACCATACTGAGTTAGAGGAAGAGGAATCCATCATTATCTCATAGAATCAAGCATTAACTAGAAGTGAGATTCAACCCTCTAGGCTTATATATTTTGAAGCAATAGTTTTATAGGAAAGAATTTTAACATATAAAATGTAAAAGAAGAAAACAAAACATCACTAATATAACTTGCATTCATTCAACACTATATATCATGGGCCTAGATATTGGGAATATAAATACAAAAGAATTTACAAGCTAAAAGCCAAGTAGCTCACACTGTAATGAGGAAATCAGACAATAAGCAAACAGTAACAATATCAAATTCTGTACTAAAAAGGTGATCATGTAATATTATGAAAACACCTACAAAAGGCATCTGATTCAGACTAACGGGTAGAGAACTAAACAGATAAAACTTAGAGGAGGTAACACCTAAGCTGAGTCTTGAAGGACAAGCAAAAATTATACAACTGTCAAGTTATACAACTGAGGTAAAGGGAAAATACATTTGTATACATAAATATATGTATATAAAGCATGTTTTAAAATATATATTACATGAGAAATACATTTTAAATGTATTCTTAAATCATGTGTATATAAATTCATATGTATCAATAGAAGTAGCAAGAGAGAAAGTATCTGCAAGGCCATAGAAGTTCACACAAGAATGTAGCATTAGAAGATGTCATGCCATTTGAATGGGACTAGAAGTGCTGCAAGAATAGTCCAAAGAGAGAGATAGGTTTAAGCTCCTATTAGGTTTCATATGCCAGGCTAAGGAGTTCAGGTTTCATCCAGAATGAAACTGGAAAGGCAGAGAAGAATTTTAAGTCAAGGGATAACATGACCACATACGGTGGTGATATGAAATACATTTGATGGCAAAGCAGGTATCAAGAAGAACAGACAAGAGGCTACTGTATTAAGACAGAAATTGAGGAGACAAAAATCACCAACAGATTTGGATGAGTAGAAATGGGGGCTGGGCAAAAGACTTAAACAAGATTTCAGCTCTAGAAAATTGAACTGCATATAACAGGCATACTATTCCGTCCTTGCTGAAATAGTAATCTTGATCCCCTCCCTCCCTTCTGTCCTGACAAAATAATTATATAGAAGGTTAAAAGCTACCTGCCTGTGAAAGAAAAGCTACCAGAGAAGAATAAAAGAGGAAAGGAAAAATAAATTTAAAAAAAAGATAAGAGTAAAATCTATTAACACTTCCAAATGAAAAGTGACAGTCTAAGTTTAAAAAGAGCGAAAAGGAACTAGAAAAGAAAAAACATTATTGGTACTTGACTACATCAAACTTGTAAATACAAGTGCTCTAAATAACAGAAAATAAATTTTTGTAAGTTTATAGCAAATATAAGCTATTATCTATTATATCTAAAGCACATAAGATCAAATAAAAAGCTGGTGGCACATGCCTATAATCCCAGCAGCTCAGGAGGCTGAGGTGGGAGGATCTCAAGTTCAAAGCCAACCTCAGCAACTCAGCAAGGCGCTAAGCAACTCAGTAAGACCTGGTTTCTAAATAAATACAAAAAAAAGGGGGGGCTGGGGATGTGGCTCAGTGGTTAAGTGCCCCCAAATTTAATCCCTGGTACAAAAAAAAATGAATCAAATAAAAACAGGAAATGCTATGAATACATGAGTTAATGACAGATCCTTAATCTCACAACAAAATAAGAATGAATAAAATGTCAAAATCACTTTTCATAATAACTGAATGCATTTGACCAAAACAGCATCTCTATGAATTACTAAATTAGTAACTATTTGACTTCCCCGACCTATTCAGGACATAATAAAATAGGCAATCTTGTACAATATGAGAATAAAAATGGAATAAGAAAATGAAAAAAATACATATATCCTTAAATTTTTTAAATGGCTCATACTCTGACAAAATAATTCTACTTCTGAAAATCCATTCTAAGGAAATGATCTAAAATATAGACAAAGGTTCATATACAGTATTATTTATGGCAGCACACATGTCTGTAATCCCAGTTGCTCAGGAGACTAAGGCAGGAGGAGCTCGAATTCAAAGCCAATCTCAGCAAAAAGCAAGGTGCTAAGCAACTCAGTGAGAACCTGAGGGGTAGGGATGTGACTCAGTGGTCAAGTGCCCCCATGCTCAATCTCCAGTACCAAAAAAAAAGGAAAAAGAAATGGCCCACATGCCTCCCTAAGGGAGATAAATGTAAATGTGCTATAGTAAAGTCATACAAGAAAATATCATAGTCACTAAAAAGGATATTTTTACAGTTATTTTAATAAGGAAAAAATCTCATGTTCATAAGAAATGGAAAAATCATAAATTTTATAGAAGAATAATTTTAATTCTGGGTTTTAAAATAGCATAGAGGGAAAAATTACTTCAGATTAATAATGATTTTTTCCTCTTCCTGCATTTTCTAAGTTTATTTTTTAAATAATCATGCTATATCATGTTTGTGTTTAGAAAACAAACCCTACTCATTTAATTTATCCCGATTAAAAATATGCTTTAGCTTGGGTTAAAGAAATAGGCCATTCTTTTTACATCTTTCTGTATATTTTCACTACATATTTTTATTAAAAGAGCTTTCTAAAGTACCTTAAAGTCAAGGGTAACAAGTACATGATATTAAGAACTTCCTATGATTAACAGAGTCAAACAAGAAAAAAAATTAAGTTTCAGTAATTGAAAGCATTATTAAGCACTTTAACATACTTCACCCACATTAGTGCACTTGCATTTCAAAGCATAGCAAAGCTATGTCTTCTATTACCTGAGGTGGTTGAGCAGAGGCTGAAGTCTCTCATCTGACTGCACAGCAGGCAAGGACCTAGCTGTTAACTGAAAGCAAAAGACAAAGTTAACGAAAATAGCAAAGGCCAGACAGACAGGAGCACTAAATGCAAAACAGGGTCAGGAAGAGCAGACCACGGAGGCAGAACATAAAATGTGAAGAAATGTTTCTTTTTTTAAAAAAAAATGAATTATATAAAAAGCGGATACATTATATGATTAAAGATAACAACATGGCTCTAAGGATGTAGGACATATTGCCAAGTTTAGAACTTTTAAAAAAAAAAGTAAGAGGGAACACCTATTTGAATATTTGAGTTCATGAAAAGGCATCTACTCATGAAAATATTATCTGTGAAATAAAAATGGAAAGATTCCTAAATGTTAAAATGAATAACAACCAACCTATGACACCGAATACTGCAACGATGAAATTCAGAAGGGGAATTCTGTTTGTTTACAGCTAAACCACTATGAAAGAAGTGTGTATTGTATACTCACTCCATATGCATTCCTTCATTTGGACAACTACATTAAGAAACCAAGACTGTATTTTAAGTACACAATAGTAACTGAAAGCATTAAATATTGAAATATGATCTCAAATTGATCTAAGAAATAGTGAAAACTAAAGCCTTTCTGTTAAATACTGTGCATTAAGCTGACAGTATATCAAGAAGCATAAACATCTAATTTGTTTTTTTACTGAAATATTAGTTATATTTCTATGTATCTATATGTATCTCTATTTTAATCTGCTCTCCTAAGAAACTGTCACAAAGACTTTATAAAGACGTTCAAAGTAATCAGCTTGAAGCAAACTTAATAAAACAATAAAGTAAGATTAGAAAATAACTGATTCAATAATGATCAGAGTAATCTAATAAATCATTTGCTAATTCACAGAAGAGAATCTTAAGACAAGTAACAACTGAAAGATAGCCTTTGGTATTAAATAGAGTATCTTCATTCCAATTTTTTCATACATTAAAATTTTCTTAAAATGGAAAACAGACATTTAATTCAAACCCAATTTGTGATAATATAACAAAAATGAAATTATCTCTTTAAAAACATTTGTTGAAAATTTGACAAAAATGCCATATATCATTTTTATTAAATCATATAATGGAAAATCTCTCAATGTGTACAAGAATCAATAAATGTCAACAAAGATACTGATTAATTTAAAAGACAATAATGTAAGCCAATTAACATACTGCAATTTTAGCAAAACCAACAGACTTTTAGTTTCTATGAAAAATGGTAAGCTAGTATTTCATGACATAAATGTTATCAAGGTTATCGAGTTCTATAAACAAAACACTTTAATACATCCTGTATCTGTTAATGTCAAACTCCTCTACAAAATGTCATTTTCATTGTTCAAGATATTTCATGTCTCAGGACCAAAACTATGCTCTAAAATATTTAAATGTCTTATCTAGATATTTCAAAAGTCAATTCTCTGAAAATAGAGCAGGCAGACAGGGCTTTTTCAGTCATATCTGTCAACTACATAGCATACTTTCTAATTAAACTGTCTTTTCTAAACAAAGCAAACAAGCAAAACATCTCACTAACACTGCAAGACTTTCTAGTCATCTGTCCATTCCATACAGGAAACATTTCTCAAATCTATCCCTTCATCTTAATCTCAGCTTTCATTTCCTTTTTTCCTAAACTGTTAATATCTCCAGTCACTCCCATGTCTGCATCCATTCTTACCTCTTCCAGTTTATTCTTCACTCAAGGTCACAATGAAATTTTCAGATTGAAAGTTAACCTCTCCTCTAATTAAAATTATCTAATAATTCCCTTAGGCCTTCAGGCTAGAGTTAATCACAATGGTCTTTTATCAAGTATTTTCTTTTTGGGTCACAATACTAAACAAGCACAAAATGAATGTCTGGTTATACTCTCCACAAGAGACACGGGAGAATGCCAGGTAGGAATCTATTAGCTCTAGTTTCTGGAACACGTGTGCTAAATTATTTAGGCACATCACCCCCTCAGTCCCTTCCCACTTCAACTTATTTTCAACTTTGAACCTCAAGCAAAAGTGACTTCTTTATTTAGAGACTAGGGTCTAAATAAATTTTATTTAGAAACTATATAGTCTCAACATTTCTTTTGAAACTCCTTTCTAAGCTTGTGTAGTTACTTCCCACATCACTCTACTATGAGAGGCACTGCATCCCTAGCACTTCTTGAGACACAGCAAGTTTAAAAAGTATGTGACAAATCCAAAAACCTGCAACTATATAATTCCATTAATTGATGAAAATGAAAGTGTATCTCTTTCGACATTTCATCATTGAAGATTTTCAGATTTCTGCTTTGAGCAAAATTAAATCTAGATCAAAACTAAACTAAATCACAATTATCAGCCTTTCAAGAAAGCAATATACTATCATAACAAGATTTTTAGCATTAGAGATTTTACATTTCTCTAAAACTAGAAACAAATATCTAGGTTAAATATGGTTTCCATACTTCTTTTTGCTTTTTAAATAGAAAATACAACAATGTCCTTGACTCATAAATCACCAAGAAGCAAAGAGAAAGATCTATCCCAGTTCTGTTTGAGTTGGGGTTATTTCAAAGGAGCCATCATAAAAGTTGACATAACAGCTTATTTCTCATTATTGCTGAAAGGTTAGAGGTGAGTTACAATGGCCTGTCATAATTAATACAGCTGACACATTTAATTAAAATTAAATACATTCTACTATATATAACTAAAAATAAGTTATTTTAATGTCTATTTCATTCCACTATCCTTCCTTATTGCTGTGTGTATGTACATGACTGTATGACCAATGTGATTCTGTAACCTGTACACTAAGAAAAATGAGAAATTATTTCCCATCTGATTCAAATGTATTATATGTCAAGGTCATTGTACTGTCATGTGTAACTAATTAAAACAAAAAATTTTAAAAAACAAATACATTCTCTTAGATTTCATCCAAAAAAAGTTATTTTAAAAAGTCTGGTAAGAAAGAATAAAGGTATCTGGTCCAACATTGCCATTTTATTTAACAGGAAATAAGGTTCCTCATGCCACAGATAGGCTTGGTGTGCCTGCTGGCAACTAGCTATGCTAGGACACACAGCACAGGCACTTTCCTCTGCGACACCACCATTCACAGTGCTACATACGTTGCATGACAGCTAGCTGGTCAGGAACCTTTGACCCCAGAGTGTTCCTGTATCCTCTTATTCCCTCATTTCTCAAAGTGGGTTGGTGTTCAAGATTCACTTCACACGTGGATTTTCAGTCTTGAAGATAACCCAAGTTTTCATAAAAGGTTCCTTCACATCATTTGGGAAACATCACCAACTCAGAATCCTCCCTAAATACCCTTGGGTAAAGCAGCACTCCTCCCATAAGTATTCTAGTACTCAGGTATCTCATATTTATCACTACTTGAAATTATCTTATTCTCTCATTTGTGTTTCTCTCCCCCTACAAGAACATAAATTGCATCACACAGAAACCTGTTCTGTCTCGTCTACCACTTCCCCCTACTGCTGTCTGGTAAGCAGTAGACAATCCATAAGTGCTATAGAATGAAAAAGAGGTGTCCCCTACCCAGCCAGATATTTCCAACAGAAGCATGAGTTTAGAAAAGTCTGCCCTAGACACTGGTCCTATTGGTCTTACATTTCTAATGTCTTCATTAATGACATGAGCTATCAACTAGAAGGAACATACACATTTCTCCTTTCATTTCCAGCTAAATGGAAAGTCTAAAGTTCTTCCTTTAGAAGGAGAGCAAATGGACCACAGTTGCAACTGTGGCTCCCCGATTCAAAAAAAAAAAAAAAAAAAGCAGCCCCAAACTAACAGTTCAAAACTTAAATAATGGATAAACACATACACAAACTCAATGAGTTTACTTGAGTACATATAAATATGAATGTAGGCTATGGAGGCACAACCAAAAAAAGTAACCAAGACATAGCTCTTTACTTCTATGTCCAAGTTTTTGATCATTAAATGATAGCTACAAACAAAACGAATAGCAATCAGATCTATTTTCCCAACATTATTAAATTTAAATATACAAAGTCTTTTATAATGAACATCCATTTTTTTAAAAATGCAAAAGCAAACTAGTTCAAAGATTTATAGAAAGCAAATGAGGGACAGATAGTGTAAATGTGACACTGTTCAATAAAATTCATTTAGGCCATTGTAAAGAGACAGTCTTTGGGGCTGGGGATGTGGCTCAGGCGGTAGCGCGCTCGTCTGGCATGCGTGCGGCCCGGGTTCGATCCCCAGCACCACATACCAACAAAGATGTTGTGTCCGCCGAGAACTAAAAAATAAAATATTAAAATTTCTCTCTCTCCCCCCTCTCTCACTCTCTTTAAAAAAAAAAAAGAGAGACAGTCTTTGTCATTTAAGTCTGTCATTTAGATCACAATGCTAAGATTAAAGTGTGTATTTAAAGGTATTATTGCTAAATACATGGGTTGCAGTTTTTGATAGGTAAATTACTTTGAATGGGAACCTAAAATATTTCTCTCAAAACAACCCTACCCCAAAAGGACAAAGCTATTCCTTAGGAATAGCTTATTGGAGCACTGTGTTGAGGGTTTGTTCTGTAGGGGAAAAAGTAATGTCTTTATTTTTTCCCATTGCTAGGTTCAGACTGAGATGCTTACAACCAAAGACAGACTAACAAGAGAAAAGTACACAAATTTATGTCATGTAGGTTTACATGACACAGAAGTCTTCAGAAATGAAAACCCAAAGAACCAGAGAAGCCTGTGTATTTTCATGGACAGATGTGCAGAAGTTGACTGAGGACAGAGGCATGATCTAATTGGTGATAAACTGAGGGGGGCTCACAGAGCCCGGTCATTCAGAATTTTCTGTGTTCTAATGCCTTTCCTCTGGGAATTAGGGGCTTGGGGGAAGCCAATTCTACAGTGTAGATTGTATGGTTTGCTTCAGGGGAGAAGGATCAAGATGGTTAGAGTAACCTTTCTGCTTCTGTTATTTCCCCCAAATACCAAAGTGCCATATTTGGAGG